TTGAAGGAATGAAGTGCTAGGTGTAGAACCTGTTAGAGTTTGTGAAGCTTTGCTGTTAAGACAGTGTGAAAAGCAGTTGCTGTGATGCATGTGACAATGCGCAGAACTGTGATCTCAGTGACAGGTGAATCGGGACAGTGGCCCTGGCATGGCTGCAAACACCCGAACACTTTACAGAATGAGATGTTTGGAAATAAGCCCGTCCAAACCCCAGTGGTGTGCACTTTTTCTAAGAAGCAACTATATTTATTTATTTTTTAACTTTTTTTTTTCCATTTATTTTTATTAGTTGGAGGCTAATTACTTTACATCATTGCAGTGGTTTTTGTCATACATTGAAATGAATTAGCCATGGATTTACATGTATTCCCCATCCCGGTCCCCCCTCCCACCTCCCTCTCCACCCGATCCCTCTGGGTCTTCCCAGTGCACCAGGCCCAAGCACCTGTCTCATGCACCCAACCTGGGCTGGTGATCTGTTTCACCCTAGATAATATACATGTTTCGATGCTGTTCTCTTGAAACATCCCACCCTCGCCTCTCCCAGAGTCCACAAGTCTGTTCTATACATCTGAGTCTCTTTTTCTGTTTTGCATATAGGGGTTATTGTTACCATCTTTCTAAATTCCATATATATGTGTTAGTATACTGTAATGGTCTTTATCTTTCTGGCTTACTTCGCTCTGTATAATGGGCTCCAGTTTCATCCATCTCATTAGAACTGATTCAAATGAATTCTTTTTAATGGCTGAGTAATATTCCATGGTGTATATGTACCACAGCTTCCTCATCCATTCGTCTGCTGATGGGCATCTAGGTTGCTTCCATGTCCTGGCTATTATAAACAGTGCTGCGATGAACATTGGGGTGCACGTGTCTCTTTCAGATCTGGTTTCCTCGGTGTGTATGCCCAGAAGTGGGATTGCTGGGTCATATGGCACTTCTATTTCCAGCTTTTTAAGAAATCTCCACACTGTTTTCCATAGTGGCTGTACTAATTTGCATTCCCACCAACAGTGTAAGAGGGTTCCCTTTTCTCCACACCCTGTCCAGCATTTATTGCTTGTAGACTTTTGGATAGCAGACATCCTGATTGGCGTGTAATGGTACCTCATTGTGGTTTTGATTTGCATTTCTAAGAAGCAACTATATTTAGGATTGTTGTTGCTAAGTTGTGTTTGACTCTTTTGTGACCCCATGGATTGTAGCCTGCCAGGCTCCTCCGTCTGTGGATTTCCCAGGCAAGAATTCTGGAGTGGGTCGCCATTTCCTTCTCCAGAGGATCTTCCTGACCCAGGGATTGAATGTACATCTCCTGCATTGCAGACGGATTCTTTCCTGCTGAACCACCGGGGAAGCTCATATATAGGGGATCACTTGCCAAAAAACCCCTCTCTCTTAGCAGGGATTGGAAGGAACACTGTGACATTAATGAATTAAGCACAGGCACATTCTGCCGGTCCCCAAAACCTTTCTTTTTTTTAAATTTAAATTTTATGTTACATCACCATTGGTTTATACTGTTGTGTTAGTTTCAGGTGTATAGGAAAGTGATTCAGTTATCCGTATACATGTATCCATTCTTTTGATTCTTTTCCCATACAAGTTTTTACAGATTATTGAGTCCCCTGTGCTATTCAGTAGGTCCTTGTTGATTATCTGTTTCATATATAGTACTGTGTTTTTGTTAAGCCCCAAATCCTAATTTATCCCTTCCCCCTCAAAAGTCTTCTAATTGGAATCTTAAAGTTGACTTTTTTTTTTTCCTGTGTCTATGATTGGTTTTACAGAACACCCCTCCCTCCTCAGTTTTTATAATCCGGGGATTCTCACTGTGAGTAGGAAGCCCCAGTAAAGTGTAGAATCTAAAACAAATACGAGTTAGTTCTTTAGTTAGCTTTTCCCTTGAAGCTGTTATCAAAATTAACCCCAGGGAGCATAAATTTAATGCATCCATCTCAGCACCACCTCCTCTTATCTTGGGAAGTCATAGAAAAGAGAAAAAGAGAACATTATGAACCTTGCAGGACCTCTGGAGTTTTATCAATTATCACAAGCAGCATGAACCCCAAGTCATTGAAATCATCTCAGGGAGTGGGAGGGCGGGAAGTGTGCTTACTTGCAAGGGAGCCTTATTGGCTGAGAACAAATGGGTTGCTATTTTTTATTTGTTTTCTCTGTTCGTCCGTAATGATTACAGGCTGGCCTTGGTGTTTAGCGACAGGATCCAGCAGGTCAGTGATGACAGCTCCATCACTGTCATTAGCGCCTTTTGTTTGCAGTGAACATGAAAAGCTGTTCAGTATTAAGAAAGTCCAAGGAAAGAAGGAAGGGGAGGGGCGAAATGTGGGGACAAAGTGAGACAGTAAAGGAGAGAGCCAGGAATCCCAAATTCACATTAAAAGAAGTGGGTGCTCCGGTCACTAACTTCACTGGGAGAGGGGCCTCAATTTTGACTCACTGTTCTTTTTATTAGAAGAGTCATTGGTTGTGTCTGTAAAGACTAATCTGTTTTTTTTTTTTTTGGTGCCAATTTGGGTTCCTAGAAATGCACTAAGGAGATACCCTTTTCCCAAAGGGCTTTTCTGCTTCAAGGGTGGTGTCTGGGAATGACTCTTGTTTCAGTATCTTCTCTAGCAGGCAAAGGTAAAATGAAGCAAAATAGAGGAAATGCAGTGACTTTGTTGGGGACCTATTGGGTGTCAGGCACAGTGCATTTCTATTAGCATTATCTCCTCCACTTCTAACAACCTTGGGGTCCTGTTGGTGGTTTTGTTCCCCCTGTACTGATGAGAGCAATAAAACATAAAAGTGTTACCTTGAAGATCATGCCAGCTAGTCAGGGCAGAGCTTGGGTTAGAATTCAGGTGTGTCTCTTGTTCCAGACTCACTGCTCTATGCTGCAGCCCACCCACTTCCTCCCCAAAGAAAGAGAGAAAGAGAAACCACCCACTGCCAAACAAAAAACTGAATTCAAAGAGGCAAGTTTAAAAATCTCAGTATTTGGAAGACCATGAAAATATAGGCAGAAGTATGTATTTATTTGATGATTGAATCATGTGAAAGCAAGGATGATTTTTTTAAAGACATTGAAAAAATTATATGAATTATAAAAATGTGTTATTTTTTTGGGGGGGGGAACTTACCCTTCCTCCTGGGGTGACCCTTGACAAGGCCTTCTGTGTTCCTTTTTTCCTCTCCCGCAAAAAAAAAGTGGGTGGAAGACGAAAGTTTGATATTTGGCTTATGCAAATCATCAGTGAATTTTGTGCCCCCTTGTCATTTTGGCTTTCTGATGCCTGACCAAGCTCCTTTGAGTTGAGTGCCTACTTCTTACACACCTCTTATCCTTTTCTGGACAAGTTCGCTGAATGTTGTGCCTTTGGTCTTGAGAAAACCAGCCAATTGTGATGACAGGCATACAGGGAAAAAGACAGGGGGGAGATGTGACTTGGTGGGAGAGGGAGAGAAAAAGAGGGCAGGGCTCTTGGGATGACCAAATCAGGCTGTTTCTGCTGTGACATTGCATTTAACGCCTAGAATTTGACCTTCACCGTGTCTGGGGCACTCTGTGGACCAGGTAAGCTATTGACAGAACATTTACTCAAATACTAGTTAAAGTCAAGGCTCCTGCTACAATGTGACCGATGTGAATGCATTTAAAGGATTTTTTTTTTTTAATGGATTCTCAGCTCAGGTTTTCTTAGGACAGTCCTGGGTGTCCCTTAACTTCACTCTGGCCGGAGTGATGGGTTCCGAACATGGACTTGTATGCGTCGCTGTGAAAAATTAAGACGTAAATGAAAACCCCAGGCCCATGTGGGGAGTGTTGCTATCAGACACCAAGACTGAGGATCAGAGAAGCTGAAAATTCCCTCCTGCCCGGGTATTTGGCCTCCAGCTTTTCCACTTCCCTATATCATCCTTCTGTTGGGTCTGTGTGCACAGTGTTGTTTAGTTGGTAAATGACTTGTTGGGACCCCATGGAATGTAGCCCACCAGGCTCCTCTGTCCATGGGATTTCCCAGGCAAGAATGCTGGAGTGGGTTGTAATTTCCGCCTCCAGGGAATCTTCCCAACCCAGGGATCGAACCCACAATTCCTGCATTGGCAGGTGGATTCTTTACCACTGAGCCACCAGGGGAAGTAGGGCTCCCCTAATTTGATGGTAAAACCACAAGAGCCTGAATGCCAGTTCTAGTTCTCAGCGACCATTATTAACATCCAAAGGCAAACCGCTGCATGCAGGAGCGCGGTGACCACCTTGGACAGACAGCGTCTATACCAATGGGCTCCTAAGGCCAGCTCCGCTGCCACTAGGGAGCCCTCAGCCCAATTTGCCCTGCTTCCTTAGCTTGAGACAAGTAACCTTCCGGCTGTTCCGTTTCTCTTTGCAGAGTTTATAGGGTGTATGGTGGGGGGCGGGGGATTGGGGTGTTCAGGGTCAGGACTGAAGCTTTAGGGGCCGGCCCGCCGGGGCTGTTCAAAGCCGGCCTGGACCAAGGCTTCAGCATCACCTGCGTGGACAGGTGGGGCTCGCGCATCTCCGGAGCCACCCCAGACCGTCTCGAGGATGCTGATGGGTTCTGTCCAGTTTGAAAACTGCCATGTCCGGGGAACAGGGATCTCCTCGCTGCCCACTGGGTGCTGGGCATCGGGTCCTGGGCGCCCTCGGCTTGCAGGGGTCCCGGGGGGGGGGGGCGGGCATGCTGGGCATCGGGTCCTGGGCGCCCTCAGCTCGCAGGGGGTCCCCAGGGGGGGCAGAGAGAGCGGCGTGAGAGCGCCCGGAGCTGCGGGCGGGAAGTCGGGAGCAGGAGGAGGAGCAGGAGGAGGAGGAGTAGAGGAAGTCCCCCGTGGCCACCCCGAAGGGAGGGCGGGACGGTGCCCACAGGGAGCGGGTCAGCCGGCGAGAAGCGGGGCTGCTGGGCTCGGGCGCCGAGGGGCACTGGCTGCAGGGCGCGCGCGCTCCCCGCCGACCCCCGCGGAAAGGGGGTGCTGCCGCTCGCCAACATGGCGGACCTGGAGGCCGTGCTGGCCGATGTCAGCTACCTGATGGCGATGGAGAAGAGCAAGGCGACCCCGGCCGCCCGCGCCAGCAAGAAGATCGTCCTGCCCGAGCCCAGGTACCGGCTCCCCGCGCCCGGGCGCCGCCGCCGCCCCCCGCGCGGCCGTCAGCGACCCCCTGCGTCCGGGAGGGTCGGGCGCTCAGTCCGCCTCTGACCCCCGGGCCGGCGCTGAGGGGGGAGCGGGCGCTGAGGGGACCGCCTCGCCGTGCCCGTCTCTGAAATGGGGCCTCGGAGGGCTGTTGGGAGGGGACTCCGGGAGAGAGCGCCCCGAAGTGCCCGGCGCGGCCGCCGGCGAGCAGCGAGCGCCCCTGTGAGGGGTTGTTCGGCTGCGGTGTGACTTCGCCGGACCAAGCCCGGCCCCTGGCCCGCTTCTTGCCCCATCCCTTTCTCTCGGGCCAGCCCAGTCCCTGTGGTCCTCCCTGTTTTAAGTGCTGTGCTTCCCTCCTGCCGCATCTATCTCCGTCCTCCCCTCCAGCCCCCAATTCGGTCCCCCGCCTGCCGCGTCCGTCCTTCTGCCCGCCGCTGCCAGTCTTTCCCTGGCGCTCCATCCCGGCCGTTCCTTACGGAGTTCCTGCGGCTGTGCCCCTGCCCAACTCCGTCCTCTCCTCAGCTCCCTCTGGGCGCCTTAGTTGGGGAGTGCAGGCGAGTTGCTTTTTTTTTTTTTTTTTTTTGCCCCGGGCACTTAAATTACTCTCTCCCCCTTTTAAGGTCCACCAGGCAGCAAGTAGTGAATTCTGATCCACTTGATTTTGTCTTTGGTACGTGGTGACAGGTCCCACTGGCGGCACTTTATTAAAAGGTTGAAATGGGAATCACTTCAAAACGCATGTTGAATGGGTAATTCCAGGCAGAAATTTTGTTTAAATTACTAGCCAAGGACCCGATTGAATTGGCAAGGGTCTTGGTGAAGTCCATACCAAGTTGTAATTTTTTTGACTCAGAAATGATTTATTATTGGTGAAGTAATAAAAGACTTGATTAGTTCATATCATTGGCATTACCCCAGAAAGGGTCATTTATCAGGTTAATAGTGAGTTTCAGACAGTGTATCAGAGGATTGGAGTTGGATTCTTTTTTTTTCCCCCCTCAGCTTCCTTCCTAAATAACACCATCACCAGTGGTACAGCAAATGTGGCTCCTTGACACTATAGCTCTTGGTGGAATTGATGGTATAATGAGGCATCTTCTTAACGGTGAATTTAAAACTATGTATTTTTGTATATTACTGAAAACTAAAACTAAAAGCCATTCTCCATTTGAAAGCATCAGCCCTTCATGGGTTCTGTGTCTAAGATTGCTTAAATATTACCTTGGCATAAGGGGAAAAAAATCTTTCTTGTGATGCTGTGTGATCATCACATTATTTTTTACAAGTCCAGGAGCCTGAGCCCCACGATATAGAAAATATCAGTCCCTTTGTGCTGTTTGTTGTGAAAAGTCAAATTGTGTACATGAAGGTGTGCGTCCTGAATGTTTTTGGCTCGCTTGTTCTTCTTAGCCCCTGCATCTTGGTTCTGCAGGGGAAAACCTACTTTGATGAGCAGGAACAGGCAGGAAATGTCAGAGAGAGTGGAAGCCCTTTAGAGCATCGTGAATACAGCACTCCTGTTCCAGACTTGAACATGTCTGGAGCTCACTGACAAGCAGTGGTGTTTAAAATTTCTGGCAAATGGAAAACTAAGTAAAACAGGAACCCCGAATGAAACCTGAATTTCATTAAAAAAAAAAAACCCAAACCAAAAAACCCCCCTGCATTTCTCTAAATGTCATAGATAATGCTTAGTTTCTTTTCCTGGTTTTCTTCCTTAAGGACAGGGACTCCTAAGTATATAAAGTATCTGTATGTAAAATCAACAAATCTTAACTCCTGGACAGTTCTTTTTTTTTGGGGGGGAGGGGTGATATATACTATTATTAAAATTAGGAACTTCTGTTCATTTTGTTTTTCTTGGTGTTTTGAACTTACTGTGACTTCTGCTTTTTTAATGTCCCTCCTAAGAACATCCTTAGTGCTTAGGGTATTCACTTCCTCGTGTGAAGGCCTTTGTTGTCAGTGACATTCTTTGGTAATGCTCTCTTTAAGGCAGAATTAGTGACGGCCCAGCAGATTTCTCATGACATTTTAGAATTGAGACATAGAAACAGGAGAGTAATTTTAGGAAGCAGCTCTTTAGTAATTGTTATGCTGTTGCTGGTGTTTTGCTTTTTTTTTTTACCCCCCAAATAGACTTTTGAATTAGGCCATTGGAATGTTCTCCAGAGATTCTAACTTGTTTGAATTTATCTCAACTGGCTTTACTTTTCTCCTGTGACCATTCACATAGTCACTGCCACTCCTTGTGCTGAGCTAGGATTCTGTACATTGAGATCATCAGGTAAAACATCTTCACATCTTTCTCCAGCTGGATGGCAGTTGGTGGCTTACCTGCTTGATTTGGGGATGGGGTGGGAGGTTGGGGGATTTCTCGATCTGGTAAGAAAGTAAATTTCACATGAAAATGCCTCAGCATCATGACTCAAAAGACTAGTGTGATTTCACTCTTTGGTGAAGGGTACAGGTCAGATGTTCTCTGATAAGAGTTTCTATTTCGGCTTCATTTTGAGGAAAGCTGTGTGGTCACCAGTCTCTGGCACTCCTGAGCAAGAGGTTTAGCTTTATATGTTCAGTTTCTAAATGGGAAGCATAAAACTCGCCACTGGTTGATCTCCAGTGACTCTTTTTTCCAGCTAACTATTTGAAGCCACGGTAGCGTTTTTTGTGCTTCCTTATTTCACTTACTTCACCTTTTCCTCCAGTTTTGCACAGAGAGACAACAGAACAAAGCACTATCCAGCTAATTTCAATGAAATGAGGAGTGTGCCGTCCCCTGCCTATTACGGGAGAATCTCACAAAATGGAACATTCCGCCCAGGGGAGATTTTGCTTCTCAGAGACGGCAAAGAGGCAACCATTTTGTTAGACTGACACGTTATTCAGTTAATGAACCAATGAGTGTAAATCCTGTAAAGACTGCCTATTTGTTCAAATTATACAATTGCTTTAGTTTACTGAAACATTTGTTGCGCTAATGTAGGTGATAATGGGTCTATTGGTGACAGGCACCTGTGACCCATGGACACTCTGCGCATGCCCAGTTGAGGACACACACAGTCAGATGTGTGTGCCAGTCGTTTTATGCCATGTTAGGAAGAAACATTTAATAGGGACTAATTCAGAAACCAAGGCCTACAAAGGGTCAGCACCTTAAGCCCTGTAGAGTCAAGGCAGCTTTTCCTCTGGTCTCATTACTCTCATAATCTTTTCTGAACAGCAGGATTCAGTTGACTTGAGTTGACACATTCTTGCAAGAGGTTCAGTCACAAAATCGATCTCTCCTCCAGAGTTTCATTTCTATTCAGTGGACATTGAAAATTCAGGCTCATCCATCACAAAACTTGTCCTTTCCAAGTCATGGGAAAGCCTGAAAATGTTTAAAGAGCCTTTATAATTTTCTGGAAACATTTTCGACTGTCCTGAAGAAGGTTTGTGGTACTGTTTATTCCATGAATTCAGTGCACAGTTGTAGAGCTGTTTTTCTGAGGCAGGCAAGGCCTGGCCTGACAGATCTTCCTTTAAGGGGCTTACAAGAGCCAGCTCACTAGGAAAAGACCCTGATGCTGGGAAAGATTGTGGGAATCTTTCCCACAAAAGAGAAGGGAATGACAGAGGATGTGATAGTTGGATGGCATCACCGACTCAATGGACATGAGTTTGAGCAAGCTCCAGGAGATAGTGAAGGACGGGGAAGCCTGGTGTGCTGCAATCCATGGGGTCACAGAGTCAGACATGACTTTGTGACTGAGCAACAGAACAACACAGTCTAGTTGGAAATACACAGGGAATTGAGAAAGATGTTGACTTTCATGCGCAGTTGCCAGAGATTCTTTTTAACTGTGGACAGGTAGCACAGAGTGGCCTTTACTCTTCTGTTTTCACGGAATTCATTATGCCTGCTCTGTGTTTTGCAGTAATTTTTTAATAATCCCCCTTGAAAAGCTGCCGAGCCATAATATACGTAGTAATATGGTCCTGTGCACCTGTCTGCTTTTAAAGTTATCGTAGGTGATTGGTCTTGAAAAATAGCTTCTTTTTCTTCTAATGTGGAAATGGGATTTATTCTGTAATTTCCCAGCTCCAGTCAGTGAGTGACCAGAGGATGATTTGAAAGATTCCTCTCCATTTGATTTGGAGGGTATTCTATGCCTGCATGGCCGTCTCTGAACTACAGAGTCAGGGTTGAACGAACGAACAGCCTTCAGGAAAAAAAGCACTCTTTATTGTCAATAGGAGCATTTCTATTATGAAACAGTGTGTGCTTCTTTTTCTCTAAACTATACCTTCCAAATGTAATTTATTCTGACCTTTCAGCTCTTACTTCATTCTTGGTCAAAGTTAATTTGCGCCAGCGACTTGAAAAGGTAAGGACTGCATGCAGTCAGGAGTTCTTAGAAATAGATGTTGCCTTGCATTCAGTTTGGGACCCAGAATCTGCCCAAGTCAAGCATTGTAAAAGGCTTGTGTCGAGAGACCGGTTGATGTCTTTGAGTTCAGGCAATCCCAGCTCTTAGAAGCAATGTGTTCTGAGCTGGCCTCTTAAAGGAACTTCCTTGGTACCCTGAATCGGGCTTCAGCAAACATCTGTTTGGATCCAGTGTCTTAGAGGCCCTAAGAAGGGACACTTCAGTCTTCAGCAGGTGGATGGCAAGCAGAGGAAGAGATGGCCTAGAGCAGAGAGGACTCCTGGGGTCCCTGCAGTCCAGTCAAAGGAGAGGGAAGCTTAAATTCCCCAAGGCAGTGATGTGATAACCGCCATTCACCGAGAGCGCCCCCTCTGCGGGCAGTCTGCATCTTGAGGGCGTGTGTTCCCCACAAGAGCACTGTCAGGCGATTAGCATCAGCTTGTTTCTGTTACCCCAAGAAGCAGGTGCCTGAAGAAGCAGGTGCCCAGGAAGGTTGAGGAACCCGGCCCAGGTGACCACTTACCGTGGCTGAGGCAGGAGCCGGATTCAGCCCAGGT